GCCCTACTCACTGAGCCACAGGCGCCACCCATCATTGTTGTTTTTTAAGCTGGTCCAGGCTGGGTTTGAACCTGCCAGCCTCAGTGTATGTGGCCAGCACCCTACCCACTGAGCTATGGATGCCGCCCAATTTTAATTTTAATTTTAATTTTTTATTTTTTTTGCAGTTTTTGGTCAGGGCTGGGTTTGAACCCGCCACCTCTGGCATATGGGGCCAGTGCCCTACTCCTTTGAGCCATAGGCACTGCCCCCAAATTTAATTTTTAAAAGTTGACCTCCTGGGTAGTTAGGGTGCCGGCCACATACACCAGGGCTGGCAGGTTCAAACCCAGCCTGGGCCTGCTAAACAACAATGACAACTTCAACAACAACAAAAACAATAGCCGGGTGTTGTGGTGGGCACCTGTAGTCCCAGCTACTCAGGAGACTGAGGCAAGAGAATCACTTAAGCTCAAGAGTTTTAGGTTGCTGTGAGCTATGATGCTATAGCACTCTACTGAGGGCGACTTTATGAGACTCCAACTCCCCCCCAAAAATTGATGGTCTGTAACGCAGGCTTATATTCATGTTTCTCTCATTGAATATATTTATGTTTAGGAAAGAAAAGGTTAACTTTGGTTAAGTCTGTTGGGAGGACACAAAACCATATCTGGCAAAGAGATGTGAATGGAACACTTTGAGAGCTCAGGGAGAGACATTTACCCTGGTCTGAGGAAGCTGGGGAAAGCCTCCAGAAAGAAATCGGCTGCCAAATAGAAGAGGGAATGCGGGGCACAGTGGTTCAAGCCTGTAACCCCAGCACTGTGGGAGGCTGAGGCAGATATATTGCCTGAGCTCACAGGTTCCGGACCAGCCTGAGCCAGAGTAAGACCTGTCTCTAAAAATAGCTGGGTGTTGTGGTGGGTGCCTCCAATTCCAGCTACTAGTGATGCTGAGGCAAGAGAATCACTTGAGCCCAAGAGTTTGAGGTTACTGTGAGCTATGACACCATGGCATTCTACTTAGGGTGACAAAGTGAGACTGTCTCAATAAAAGAAAAAAAAAAAGAAGAAGAGGGAGGAGGGGAAGCTGGAACATACAGATGGAGGAAGGGAGCCATGGGCAATAAGGCTAGGGCCAGATGGCAGAGGACTTTGAGTGCCAAACTAAAGTGCTTGAATTTTCTCCTCACAGGTGATTAGGAGCCAGTAAAGGCCCCATCAGTAACAATGATTTTGATGTAACAGTGCTTACTACATGCCAGTCACCATTCTAAGAGGTTTACCAGTATCGACTTATTTAACCCTGATACTAACCATGGTTAGATGTTAAATCACTTTAGTGCCTTGTTGAGAGTGGTGGATAGACCAGTCCCGATATATGTGGTTCAGAGGAAAGATGAAGGGAGAGATGGAAAGTAAGTGATAGCATTGAGAATGAATTTGTGTGTTTTCAATTTTTTTTACATTTTTTTTTTTTTTTTTTTTTTTTGAGACAGAGCCTCAAGCTGTCCCCCTGGGTAGTGCTATAGCATCACAGCTCACAGCAACCTCCAACTCCTGGGCTCAAGAGAGTCTCCTGCATCCACCTCCCAAGTAGCTGGGACCATAGGCGCCCGCCACAATGCCTGACTATTTTTTTGGTTGCAGCCGTCATTGTTGTTTGGCGGGCCGGGCTGGATTCAAACCTTCCACCTTAGGTGTATGTGGCTGGTGCCTTAGTGACTTAAGCCGCAGGCGCCGAGCCAATTTTTTACATTTGTGGTTTGGTTTATGGCCCAGAATATGTTGGCAAACTTGTCATTTGAACCTGAAGAGAATTTGTCTTCCACTGTTAGGTAGAGTTTCTTTGTTTTGAGACAGTCTGACTATGTCGCCCTCGGTAAAGTGCGGTGACATCACAGCTCACAGCAACCTCAAACTCTTCTGTGGCATCACAGCTCACAGCAACCTCAAACTCTTGGGCTTAATTGATTCTCTTGCCTCAGCCTCCCGAGGAGCTGGGAGTACAGGTGCCCGCCACAATGCTCGGCTATAGGTGGAGTTTCTATAAATACCATGAGGTCAAGTTGGTTTCAGTACTGTTCAAGACTTTTATAAATCTGATAATTTTCCAGCTACTTTGGGGATTCGTGTATTTCTCTTTTCATTTCTATATTCTTCCAACAGAGTTTTGCAGTCAGGTGGGGACTACCGCAGAGAAGAGAGAATGTTTGCTTGGGGCCAGAAGAATAGTTTTATCTCTTTAAATTTACTCTCGAACGCAGAAACAAAATAGAAATTACTACATATCCCAGCAGGCGTAGTGGAGCTCAGGGCAAATGCAAATAAAGAGAGGCTGGGAATTCAGCCACAACTCATTTCTAGGTTGGCAAGGCACCTGATACTCAACCCAGCCAATAGGTTCTAGACTCTCTTGAGGGGCGGGGACTTGATCAGAGCCAATGGAACGCGGGAGAAGTGGTTCTACCAGCCAATGGCTTGAGTGGCGGGGCGGGTCTTTAATGCAGGGACAGCAGTGGGAAAGATGGCTGCGAGTGTGGGACCCTCTGCGTGGTGGCGGCGGTGGCGGCGACGTTTTTCGACTCGAAATTGGTCCAGAATGTTGCTCCTTCTCCTTTTGCTGGGGTCTGGGCAGGGGCCACGACAAGTTGGGGCGGGTCAAACGTTCGAATATTTGAAGCGGGAGCATTCGCTATCGAAGCCCTACCAGGGTGAGGACCTGGCGTGAAGTGGTCGTGCAGGGGGAGGATCCCGGACCTGAGGTTATCTGTAGAGGCAGGGGGGGCGAAAGGCTTCACTGCCCTTAGGAAATTGATGGTGGTGGGTGAGGGCCGCAAGATTTCCTCTTTTTGGGAGCTACAGGTCCGAAGGGCACGGGTGAGCTCTCCCTCTTTCCCCTTCCCCAAGATCTGGAAGTTTCCGTCAGCTAGCGGCTGGGCTTCCAGTTGCCACTAGCTCTAGGCACAGACAAAGGGGAGTGCGGAATTGGACAGGAGTGTGGGAATGGAAGAAAACTGAAAATGGTGAGGAATGATCGAAGGCCACTAGCAATGATCCGGTCTCCAGATGGGGTAGAAATAAAGCAGGAGGAAGAACTGGGGTAAAACTTACTGAGAGTGAGAAAGAAGATGCAATTCTGTTACTAGATAGAATACCTGCTCTTCTCCAGTTTAGGAGCCCTGTTGATGGGTTTATGAGCTTCTATTTAAGGTTCATAGACTCTTAAACACAGAAAATTGATAGGTATGAAGAGTATAGATTGGTGCAAATGATTTAACTAACACAAGCCTGTTTCCCCCACAGAGGCATAGATAGCGGAATGGTAAACAACTCAAAAGTGCAAGAGCTGTATACACTACTACTGAGAGTAATTTAGTCCCTTTGCAGATGAATGGAGTGCTTCCTCTGTGCTGGTCTCTTTGCTAACACTATGGGTTATACAGACACAAAATTTTCACTTTTCAAGGAATTTATAGTCTAAGGGGACAGGAAAAAGTAGCTTAACATTTGAATGTCAATGCAGCAACAACAAAATGCCGGGCGTTGTGGCGGGCGCTTGTAGTCCCAGCTACTTGGGAGGCTGAGGCAAGAGAATCTCCTAAGCCCAAGAGCTGGAGGTTGCTGTGAGCTGTGACACCATGGCACTCTACCTAAGGCTACAAAGTGAGACTCTGTCTCTAAAAAAGAAAAAAAAATGAAAAAGATGGTAAGGATTTAAGATTTATTCATGACAGAAGGCAGAAGATTGAGTGACACGAAAGAAAAGTAAAGATGATGGCTCCAGCTATCAGAGACTCAGAGGTAGCTTTCTCAACTGGTTGGTGTTGAGGAGTATGAACTGATCTACTTCTTCCCCATAGGTGTGGGCACAGGTGGTTCCTCACTGTGGAATCTGATGGGCAATGCCATGGTGATGACCCAATATATCCGCCTTACCCCAGATATGCAAAGTAAACAGGGTGCCTTGTGGAATCGGGTGGTAAGAATCTTTCTCCCTTCTGTGTTGGTGACCCAAAAAGTCCTAAAAAGTTCAGCAGTGGCATACTGACTTAATTTTACTGTCTATCCCCAGTATTCTGTCTTCTGTGGATATCAAGGATCTTTATTTCCAAGATTATGGTGACCTTCATAATAAAGAAATTTTATTTCTTTGTGTTGGGAAGTGCTCTCCATTGCCCTAATTATAGCAAATAATTCCTTTTGAATCTGTTTTCTGAAATGTCTTTAATTCCTGATTAACCTAACGGTACTACTTCTTGGGTTTAATAACCTAACTCTGTTTAATAACTTTGCAAAGTAGGAGACTGCTCTTTTATATTTATCCTAAACTTCACTGCAGTACCTTCCCCATATTATTTCAGTTTGAAGAGTCTAATTTAAAATTTTATTTTCATGTGTAAGCTACTCTGAGCCATTGGTCATTTTATTTGTCCCTCTCTGGACCTTTTCTAGCTACATTGTCTTCCTTGAGGTATGGCGGCAAGAAGTGAATGCAGTATTCCTGGTGTGCCTGCACTGTGATTTTGTACAAGTGTAAGATGATGCTTTCTTTTTGGTTTCCAGGGCTCTTTCTAAATCTTTATGACCACTTTTGGGGATGACCTTGGCATCTTTCGATACTTTATTTTGGGCTCTCAAAAGCTAAGAACTTATTTTTATGTGATTTTTCTTATTAGTTGTAGATAAGTGAACCTCAGAAAAGAGAACTACTTTTCCCAATTCATTTTTCTGTGTCAGAATTCTAAAGGAGCAGAAGGGTAGGAGAAGTTTCTATGTGAGCTGTCTGCACAAACTGGCCCCTTAACCCAGATTGTAGTGCTCATTTTTGGACAGAGTACAGAGCATTTTGTTCAGATAAAAGAGTTAAAGGGCAGTTGAAAGACTTGGGATCTAGGGCATCACCTGTGGCTCAGTGGGTAGGGCGCTGGCCCCATATACCGAGGGTGGCAGGTTCAAAGCCAGCCCTGGCCAAACTGCAACAAAAAAATAGCCGGGCGTTGTGGCAGGCGCCTGTAGTCCCAGCTACTCGGGAGGCTGAGGCAAGAGAATCGCCTAAGTCCAGAAGTTGGAGGTTGCTGTGAACTGTGTGATGCCACGGCACTCTACCAAGGGCAATAAAGTGAGACTCTGTCTCTTAAAAAAAAAAAAAGAAAGAAAGACAGACTTGGGTTCTAGATACGGCTCTTGTCACTGTCCACTGTGAGCTGTAGGCAGGTTCTTTAACCTCTTAGTTTTCAGTTTCTCTGTTAGAGGAGCTCCATAATACCTGTTTGTTTTGCCCACCAGTGTTGTAAGAGTGAAATAGGACAATGGACGTGAAAAGGCTGTGGGAAGGTGAAATGGTTACAGAAATAAGTGTTGTTATGTTGTTGTATTTGCTACAATTCATTGATGGGGCTCTTCTAGGTTACTAAATGATTGTGTTCAAGGCTTGATACTTTCCTGCTGTCTTGCTAGCTTTCTGTCACCACACAACTCTTTTAACAGAAATTCTAGTTTAGCATCTAGTTCTCCCCTTTGACAGATTCTCTGTATTCTCTGTTATT